CTTGAGAGTGGACCTGTAGTGTATAGAGACATATATGCAAGAAAGAAAATGTGAAGATAACATTGAAATATCACTTTTCCTCAATTTCATTTCTGTCCTAGAACACAACCATGTCATCAAACATCCTCTATGCTTTCTAATAATCCTAACCCTAGCAAAGGGTTTAGGTAGGCTAGGGTTACAGTTCAAATTATCTCCAAAGAATCAATGCAGCCTTCCACTAATTTGAGTGGAAAATATAGCTCAGGGCATCAAGTCCTGTGCTTGTTAGAGAACAAGAACACACTGGGCAGTTAGATTCCATCACAGTACTGTACCTATGTAGGAACTGAGGCAGTTCATGGGTTGGACATTTCCTTGGTTTAATTACAGAGGCTCTTTAGAATTTTGTAGGGGTATTGGGTGATTTCCCAGGAAATAATAATGCCAAAGAGCCAATGGCAAGCAAATGTATGAGATTAGGGGTTGTATTTGACCTTGAATCGGATTTTGTTTTGTGCGGAAATGAATCAAGAGGGAGGCTGAGATGGAAGGAAGGAATTCCAGAAGTAAAAGTTTGGGGGAAATTCATGTTTGGTGGATAGGTGTTTCTAATTATATATAATTCAGTCTACACATAAAATGGGATATTAATTTGGGATTATATTAAAAGTACTAATATCTTTTGTTTTGTAAACATAATATGTTAATGAAGACTGTCACTGTGTGTTGGGTTGTGCATTTTTCTATTTAAATGGGCTTTTATTTTTGCTAATGGATTAAGCAACTATTATTTACAGGTTTTGCAGTCTAATGTAGCACAAACTGTTAATACACGTATTAATATTTTACACTTTCTTTAACAGATTATACATTTTCTTCGGCATTTTCTATTCTTATAATACAGCTAAATTTCCATCCAGAGAGCCACAATGTCTAACAATGAGCGATTGTTCTTTTTATTCTTGAAAATTCCTGAAATGTGAAGGGGAGGCAGGATGACTGAATCCATTTAGACTTATTTTTCAGCTGTGGATTTTAACAGTGATTGTACTGTTACATCTAAGACGAGTGAAACCAGTCCTCAGTTACGGTATTATTATTTTAAATTATCATCTTTAGTCCTGTAGGTTTTTTTCCCTTGTGAAAACAGAAATAATGAAGTTAATCATGCTACATGAAGTACATTTTATATTGTTATATTCAGTGTAATTTTTCTTCTTTCACATTTCTACTGTGGTATTACACTGCTTTACTACATTGGACTAGGAGCACGCCATGATATACTATAGAATATAATTAGATTACAAAGATTTCCAAATGAGCCCAGGAGGAGAGGTCCAATTTTTGGCCTGTTTTTCATAAAATCCTTTTTTCTAAAACGTCAATTTAACTACGAGTTCATGATTATCGCTGTGCCAGTTTGTTACTTTATCTTGACATATGTTTATACATTTGTGCTTGTTACTGCTAAGACAGGCAAAGTTCTTCCTTGCTGACTGTCATTTTTCTTTACTGTCTGAAGTAGCTCATTTATTTGTAGGTCAGTAGACATTCCTGCTACCATACTTAGTTTTGCTTGAGAGAGTTGAGGATAGGATTAATATGATTTGTGGGCAGACTGTTTTAGTGAATGGAGTAGGTCTGAGTTGTTAATGTGGTCTGTTTGACGTATTGTGCTACACTGCTTCATGACGTCCTTAGACCATTACCCAAGTGGGTCAGGGGATGTAGAGCACTTAAAGCTGACTGTGGACAGGGCTGACTGGCCAGGTACCTTGTGTTTCCTTTGCTCTTGTTTTGTTCAGCCAAGCACTGCAATAGTCTGGTGTGTGTCAGGATTGCGTTGTGCAATTTCATTGTCTTATGAATGCCATTAGTGTTAAATAGTACTGCACTCCTGCTGAGATTGAGATAGAGTAGAGATGTGTGTGTATTTCCCAAGAAGACTAACAATCAGTTCAGAACAGAGTTGAATATCAAGCAGCACACATTTCATTTGAACTTCACAATGTTATTTTAATGATAGAACCCATCATAATGGTGTTTCAATCATTCACAGTTCATGTGATCTTGTGGTCCCTCTTTAATTTTGTTATCTTGCAGACGGAAAAAAAACAAGCCCAAGATTCCTTAATTTCAAAAATAGAATTATAGTATGGAAAAAGAGTTGCTCAGATCATGTCTTTTATGCTTATTGGTGGTGTTTGCTTTCATGCATCATGCTCCTTTATCATAAAAACAGCAATTTTATTAGTTAAGATTAAAGGGGAACTGCAATTCTAATTTCTCAGACCAGTTATTAAATCTCGCTAACAAAATAAATTCATTGGCAGGATAGAAATATTTTTTAATTGATCACAAAATCGTGGAAGTACTTGAAATCGTCATGCTTTTGCAAACCCCTGGTCTTGTCATGGACTCACTTGTCACTCACTAGTTAACTCAGTAGTCACCATAAAAGACTAATGACATTTCACCTCAGAAATTTCCCAACGTGATCTGCATGCAGAGTTAACAAGTAGTATTTATCTGAAAAACCACCTCAAAGTTGAGAGCAATATTTCCATTGGATTAAAAGAGATGTATTCACAAGCCTGCTTGTTCACAATGTCATAGAGCTGCTTCAGGTCCCCGGACGTTTTGTTGCTTCATTTTGAATCACAGAATATGGTGCTGTGCATACCTGGAAACCTAGTCTATTTTGTGATGTAATGATGTGAATTGGAGGTTTTACAAGTTTCTGTGTACATTTCACTTGTATTTTTCATTTTTCTGGTTTCAAATGCACTCATCAAGGCAGATTATTTCTAACCCCGAAATATAAAAATAGCATTGCAGTTCAACATACAAAATATATAGCATTAAAAATAGTTCTCCTTTAAAACACTGAACAGCTGTGTGGAAACCATTAGCCTTACAGGTAGAGTCAAACTCCAGTGCAAACACTGTTCAGTTTTGCACCCCAAACAGCAGCCATTGTCTTATCCTAAGATCAGGGCGGAGCAGTGGCACTGAGGCTAAGGATCTGCGCCTGTGGTTGGAAGGTTGCTGGTTCAAATTCTAAATTCCAGGGGTGCCGTATAAATGCCTGACCCTGTGCTCTGACCCCAAGCTTCTCTCTCCCTGCCTGTGTGTCTCATGGGGAGCAAGCTGGAGTATGCAAAAAGACAGATTCCTAATGCAAGAAATTGTATATGGCTGATAAAAGTGATCAGTATAAAAAAATGATCATCACCTCTACAATGCTGTAATTGTAGGTGATTGTGCAGTGATTTCACACTCAGGTGATGTACTGTAAGACTGACACCACGAAGTGAATCCCAGCCCTCTTGGTGTGTTCTGCATCTTGTCAAGGTTTTAGCTAACGCAAATGAGTTTCACATCTCTGGATTACAGCCACACTTTTTATAATTGCGTATGTTATAAGACACATTTTATCCTGCTCTTGCTGCACTGCTTTGATGTGATTTTAAATGTCCTTTTGAGAAGCTACTATCATTATTATTCATGTGTGTAATAGTGTGATGACACTATAATATATTATCTTCACAAAGGGTGTGCAGGTGCACAGTAGTCACAATTGTGTCTACAAATTAACAAAGTGGAATATTTATAGTGACATGAGATATGAGATTCCTTGCAGCAGTTTACGCTGGTGTCACTTGTCTCTGTTACACCTGCATTACTCAGTACAAGCTCAACCACATTTTTTAACTCTAATACAAAACTTTTCTTTGAGAATAGTGAGTGCTCATATACACAGTTTCCAGAAGACTGGAAGAGCTGGGTTGGTGAAACTCTTTTTTCTCGCCTCAAATTTAAAATCTGTAAGTTACTGCGTTTGATATAGTTATTTGAAAAATGGTCATTTGAGAACTTTATTCTGTAACAGTATATTTTTAACTTTGCCTGGAGGTTGGACCTGGTACAAAAGAAGGATTTAAATTCCATTATAAAAGCCGTAATATTCACAACACGTTTGCTGTGTGGGTATAGTACAGTTTGCAGAACTTCTGGGTGGACATCGTGAGGTTAATTAATACACCTCCATGTTTAATTCTTCCGGCTCTTCCTAAGGGTTTTGAGCCGAGAGAATTGGATAACATCTACTATACACCAAATAAGTACTATAGCTGGTTGTTATAGCAACAGACAGCAAGTCCGTACTGTACATTGGTGGCCAGAGAATTTTTCCTTCCAACTGAATCTGTCTTTTGTCTTTTTAAGCAGGCTTCCAAAGACACAAATTCGCAGAAAACATAATATTAGAATTGTTTGAATTTGCACTTGTTCCTATTTACAGTCAGAATTACAGAAATACTCATTAAATGGCAATCAGTGTGTATTTTGAGGTTATCTTGAAACTTGAAGTGTTCTCACATAACATCATGTGTATAAATTTAAAATCAGGTCTTCATAATCTGTTTTCAAAATGAGTTATTTTGATTTTCAAAAAAACTGCAGCGTTCTGTATGGACCTTTTATTTAAAAAATATTGCACATTTTGGTGAGAAATAAGGTAAAAACAATCTAGAATGTTGCCAAATGTGCTATATAGTACTGTTAGTATGAGTATGCTTTTAAAAACTAATTTATTTTTTTTCTTTTTGTAATACATTATGCCTAAAGCTAATACAGTAGTATTACTGGAACAGTAAGTTCCAAGTAGAGCTGAAACACAGCAACATGTAAAAATGTTTTGATTTCTTTGTGCAATTTATAGTGCACCTTCTCTACTGGGGTTGGTCTAGTGCTGTAGCAGATTGTAGAGCTTTCAGGTAAAATAAGTGGTACTTTTTATCTTTTTCTAATGGGAGGTCTGAAGCATACAGTAGTTTTAGGTCAGAAATAAAATCACTTTAGGAAACCAGAGTCACCAGGACAACCGATGCTATGTAATAATTAACCTTGCATGGTACTCCGCACAATAACCTGATTTCTCAGTAACAGACAAAAGCTGTTGAAGACTTTTAAAGAATCTTTAGTTGCAACTTAAATATTTTTTTATTCTGTTGCAGGAAAGTCTTCATTGACTATTCAGTTTGTGGAAGGCCAGTTTGTTGACTCTTATGACCCCACCATAGAAAACAGTAAGTGTTCTTTTTTTAAAACATATTGAATGTTTACACTACCTATCTTCTGATCATTGACAACTATGCAGGAAGCACTGACATAAACATTTTAAAAATATTGTGGAACATTTGATGTGTTTCAGTTGTATTTTACCTCATTAACTGCTGTGAAACTAATAGCACTGGAAGACATCTAATAAAGTAGATATAAATAAAAGAAACATGTTATTTACTCTATTGTAATGTAATATGTAATTTACATAACTATCCAGACAGATATGGCAAAAGACAATAAACAATGTGATGGACTGGCATCCCGATCAGGGTGTATCCTGCCTTGTGCATGTTGCTTGCTGGGATTGGCTCCGTCACCTCGCAACCCTGGATAAAGTAGTTTAGAAAATAGATGAATATCATCAAATGCTTTTAAATGTCAAGAAAGAAAGACTGTTCAATGGTCATACATCCATACTTACCCTTTAATCAGGATCAGCAGTGGTAATAAGTGTAAAGTACCAGGCAAGAAACCTTTGCACAAGAAAAATTTAATCTAAATCCGCAGATATCTGAAAACGTTGTAAACATGATCTACTGGCAATGGAAGACAAAGAGAAAGACAGTCAAGCAAAGACACTGATTTCTTTTCTAAGGTCAGGGCTAAGTGTTTCCAGACCTGCATGCCATTTTGCTCCTGTTTTGAGTTACAGATTAATGCTTACCACATCAAAGGAAACTGATAAAGAGAGCTCTTTGACAAGATGGGGGGTAGCTGGAGTTCAAAGCTTTTGCTCATATGAGGACAGTGTCATTTAACACCTTGAATAGGCATGAAACAATAAAAAACTGGTTAAAAGAGAAATGACAAGAACAGATGAAATAACATTTTAGCTTTTCAGCTCAATTGTTTTGCAGATTATGGTAAAATATCAGCAAAAAACATTGTTTGTGCATGTGTAAAGGTCATTCATTTTTCAGTGTTTATGACAGGTTTATGCTGACTCATCTTTTCAGTAAGGATTGACAGATGTCCTTATAATTTTGAGTGCTGCTGAGTGGATATGTATTTATAATAAGAAATAGTGTTAGTTGGGCTACTTTTGTTTTAAAATCTACAAAAGTAGAGATACTTGTTTCCCAGGCCACAGTGTGTGACATCAAACATCTCAAGAGAATGCAGGTTTGCTATTTCAAAAGCTGAATAGCAAGAGTTGTTTACTGGGAAGAAGTTAACGGTCTTAAAAGGTTTGCAGGAAGTATCAAAGCAAGCTTGCTTGTGTTGAACCTGCAGTATAGTGTATTAAAAGGCTACTGTTGATACCCTCTCATTAGAGGAAATATTTTAGGAATAATGATAGCAAAATCCAACATTGGTGTCCTCTTTAATTACTTATGATGTATCTGTAGATGAAACCTCTGTAACTAGTAGTTGGTACATTAAAGAGCCAAGAATAGATTTGTTAGGTACCTGTTTTTCCATTGGTTCCACTGAACAAAAAATAAAAGGGCCTTTTACATTTACTGTCAAATGAATTTAGCATCTGCATGCAGTGTCCAACTACAGTATATAGCCTGAGGCTTTTCATATGTTTCATGCTAGTGTTTGTTTCATTCTAAAAAAGAAAAGTAGAATTACCTTGACATTTCCCAAGATTAAAAAAACAGCAACATTTTAAATGATTATTGTTGTTATATGTATATATCCAGAAGAAAGGCTGTATAAACATTGTTCATATACATATTCTGCTACAGTATACTATGCAATAAAGATCCATTACGATGTATTGTATACAGACAGTTCTGTAGGTTGAAGCATTCTCATGCATTTGTTAGAGCCTTTTTGAGAAATATGGCCAGCAGCCATATCACCCTGCAACTCACAACTGGCAACCCACTGAAGCTAAGCAGGTGTGAGCCTGGTCAGTACCTGGATGGGAGACCTCCTGGGAAAAACTAAGGTTGCTGCTGGAAAGAGATGTTAGTGGGGCCAGCAGGGGGCGCTCAACCTGCGGTCCGTGTGGGTCCTAATGCCCCAGTATAGTGACGGGGACACTACGGATGAGACGTAAAACCGAGGTCCTGACTCTCCAAATTTCCCATTGGTCCTTACCAATCATGGCCTCCTAATAATCCCCATCTATGAATTGGCTACATTACTCTGCTCTCCTCCCACTGATATCTGATGTGTGGTGAGCGTTCTGGCGCACTATGGCTGCCGTCGCATCATCCAGGTGGATGCTGCACATTGGTGGTGGTGGAGGAGAGTCCCCATTACCTGTAAACCACTTTGAGTGGAGTGTCCAGAAAAGTGCTATATAAGTGTAAGCAATTATTATTATTATTATTATTATTAAACATCACAAACGTTTGTGAAACATTCAGAATGCTTGAAAGGAAACTACTGTATTCAACTCGGTTTATTTTCTGATTTAAAATGTATATGCCATACTCAAGGCTTGCAGAAATCACGCAGTACAAGTTTCTTAGTACATATTTTATAGCTTGACTTTCAAAACATTTATTAAAAATCTTTTTAAAATACATTTTTAAACACAAGCTAATATTGTAATATTTTATTTTGTCTTAATGTAATATTTAAGTCACAGACATGCACATTCATTCGAAGGTAAGGTTTTCATTGCGTTTTTCTTCAAAAACACCATTTCAGTTCATTAACTGCTGAAGCACTATTCAGATTGGGCACAATTGGAGTCCTTTAGGAATTTGTGTAGGAAATGCTGCTCAGATACTGATCAGAAGCTTTGCACACAAGTGCGTGCTGAGTGGAGAGCACATTCCTCTGTATGAGAAAGAAGGCACTGTATATTACGCCACTCACTCCAGGCCTACGCAGGGTGTCTGTGCGCAGTCTTGCGTCACAGCCCTAAGAGAGGAACATAATTCTCGCTACAGATTGAATTTATAAACAACAAAAACAAACTGAAGTGCAGAAACATTTTTTTAAATCCTGCTCTGTTGAAACAGTAATATATTTTGGTACAATGACTAACAGTTAATGTTATCGTTTTATACTTGTATTATATATGTATATGTATTATATATATAGTGGAAATATTAAAGTTACATATTAAAAGTAGTTGTAAAATATTGTATGTTTTATGTATAATACATATACAGAGAGTGTAATATAAAATTGGCAAGGTGGTGTTGTCTCAATGTAAATAAGGATTTATGTCATATACACAAGTGTTTGGAGCAATTTACAGTGTACAAACATACAAAAGATAAGAAAAATAAAGACAAAATAACAGTAACGTTTGAAATAGAGATAAAAAAGGAGAAAAGGTCGACCCTCATTAAAAGCTTGATTATACAGATAATTCTTTAGATTTAACATCTGTAAAAGAATTTACATTCCTAAGACTGGCAGGGAGCGAGTTTCAGAGTTGTAGTGCCAGGCAGCTGAAACTGAGTATCCCGAGTTGCTTGTACCTAGAAGAAGGAACTAAAAGGTGTGCCTCAGCAGAGTGCAAAATCCTACTTGTTTCATAAGGAGTAATGAGGGATTTGGTGCTTGGGGCTTTAAAAGTTAAGAGTAACATTTTGAACTGAATGCACTGGGTAGTGGGAAGCCAGTGAAGACGTGTCAGTTTTGGGTAATGCAGTCACAAAGCCTTGAATGCAGTTCAGTTTTGGACAATGTAGTAGGGGGACAATTGTAAAGATGCAAAGGAACAAGTAATAGGTTTATTCCATGCTGAAAAAAAAGAAGAAAGAGAACACAACGTTTCGGCTGTGGAGCCAATTGTAAAGATTACCTAGGGGAGATGTGATGTGAGCATGAATTAGGATTTCTGCAGCAGTGTAATCAAGTCTGGGGTGAAAATAAGAGACTTTAAAGATGTTTTTTATTTATGCATCAAAACGAAGCTCAATATCAAACAAGACCCCAGAGTTTCTCATAGTAGGGTGTAATATGATGGTTATAAAAGGGTGCAGTATTAAATTCTGTACAGCTGTTTCCATGTTTTACAGAATTTAATGAATGAGAAATACCTTCCCGGGCATCTATGCACATCACCTCAGTTTTTGTCAGATTTAGGTGGAGGAAATATGAGCGGAATCAGGTCTGAATTTTGCTAATGGATAATAACTTGTAATTATGAGTTAGTGTTTTCTACGTTTATTTTTTGTGACATGATAACCCTTTAAACTTGGCTTTGGCCAACTTTATTTTCCTGTTTAAAACACTAAAACTCTTCTAATTACAAAACACTGCTACAAGATGAGCTGCTTTAAACTTTATATTGCATTTATTGATGTAGTGTGGAGAAAATGACTGCGATCTGCTTTTTAATGGATGTTATATTGCAGAATAAGTATAGAACACCGATTATCATGCATTATTTGAAGAAAGTATGATTTCCTTCCACCTCCCAAAAAATTCTGAGTGATTAGCTATATTAAGTTGTCCAATCATATGAAGAGCAGCATTAAGGCCCATTCCTTATTAATCCACTCTATCTGGCTACAGTATCAACCTAAACATAGTAGTTGGGTGAAGTTTCAGGTGAAGAGGTCTATAGGCAAGTACAATGTGTTCTGTGGAGAAAAGAAATTTTAACCTTCAGTTCCAACATTAATAGAAACATAAATACAGATAATTGCAGTTAGTAACTTTAACAGCTTCTTAGGATGTGTTTTAATTCCATAACAAGTGCTATATTCCAGAAACACTAGAAACCATGTAAGGCACTAACATTTATTTGTTTTGCTAATGTGTTAGAAGAAATTTGTTTGGGTTTCATTTTTTGAAAGAAGAGGTTTCAAAATATTTTGGTAGGAAAATTTCCTTCTGCATGATAAGTCACGTTTTCTGTTTTTTTTTTAAATATGCTCTGTAACAAACTTTCCTTTAGTGAATCTGGCTCACCTTACCAGATGAGCTGAGTCTCAGAGACAGATGGACCACAATCAATTTATTGAACACAGTGGGATGTCATTGCCTTAATCCTCTCATGTGATGCTCATGGCATGCGCTGTGTTGGCAGGGAAAGCCT